CTGATGGTGTTTAAAGCTGCTTCTCTCCCTATGCACCGCTGATTTGATTTTCATTCTCTCTTTATTTCTGCAGTTTATCCAAACTATGCATTGACTTTACAATCATAGTTTTTTTAATGGCAACAGCAGCTGAATTGCTAGCCAGTCCTTTGTCCAAGAGATCATTTCCGCTTTGTTGGGACAAAAGCAGCCAGATTAAGAAGCACAGCTAGTCCTCGATTTACAACTGCAACTGAGCCCAAAATTTATGTTGTTAAGTGAGACATTTGTTAAGTGGGTTTTGCCCCATTTTACAACCTTTCTTGCCACAGTTGTTAAATGAATCACTGCAGTTAAGTTAGTAATCCGATTGTTAAGTGAATCTGGTTTCCCCATTGACTTTGCTTGTCAGAAGGTCGCAAAAGGTGATGACATGACCCTGGGACAATGCAACCGTCATAAATGTGAATCAGTTGCCAAGCATCTGAATTTTGATCGCCTGACCATAGGGATGCTGCAATGAATGTAGGTGTGAAAAATGGTCATGTCACTTTTTTTTTCAGTGCCGTTGTAACTTTGAACAGTTACTAAATGAATTGTTGTAAGTCGAGAACTACCTGTAACAGGTGGCAGACACTCTGATATAGAGATATAAAGGAATAACACGGCTAGACTACTACTGAATAGTTCAACCTTTGGTGGCAACTTAAGGGTTGCATGCTCCTTTCTCCCTTCTGTAGCATGAATCTTCCTTGTCATGCCTATTCCCCCCCCCCCCCCACTTAGACAACAGCATTAACCACCAGAAACCCTGCTTAGCCAAGGCATGAATCAGAAAGCTGCCAGGTTAAATTGCTTGTCCTGTGGTTGTAGCCATTAGTACAAATATAGTCTTTCAAAATGAAATGCTACTTCTTAAAGAATTGCTCCTCAAACCATGTTGATCATAGAACCCAGGGGTTGCGTGAACGTATATATACACTCAGGTATCCTTTGAGTAAGGATGTCCCTGATTAGACTGGATAATCCATTGCTGCACCCGTGATTGTGCTATCACTTTTGCTTTCCCACTAGGTGACTTTGCTGTACTTCTGAAGGCGGGCATGACTGTGAAGCAGGCCATTGTTTACAACCTCCTCTCTGCCATGATGGCTTATGTGGGAATGTTAATAGGAACAGCTGTGGGACAATACGCAAATAATATCACTCTTTGGATCTTTGCAGTCACTGCTGGCATGTTCCTCTACGTGGCCCTTGTGGACATGGTAAGATCTGCAATATGTACATAGTGGTTGTGTGGGGGGGGGGGGCTTTGGGGTAGGGCAGTGTTTGGAGTCTTGCTGGTTTCCCAGGCTGAGGAAGACTATTTTGAAGCCTGCAGCTCTGCTAATGCCAGAAGACCCAGGCCATATAGGAAGTCAACGAGGGAACAGTAGAAAGAGCCAGAATGGGAATAGCTTGCCCACGATAGGACAGATCAGGGATGACCTTGCATTCCTAGCACAGGAAAGTAAATATGACCAGTTGAAGAAAGATTTGATGGAATGACTCTTAGAAGAAGGCAGTTGAAGGCTACCATTTGTCCAAAGGGAACAGTAGCAATAACGAGGGAGGGAGGAGTAGCTGAACTATATGCTAAGAATAATAGCCTTATTTGTAAATAAACTTGGATAATGGTGGTAGTTTGCCGACCGGAGTTCCTTTTGGTGGATGGGTGGCAGTTTAATTAATTAATATAGAGCATCTGGGGTTGAAATAAAGAGAGAAACTAATACAAAACAATCCTGGCATCCTTGATTATGCAGGAAAATGAAAAAAAGTTGATTGGGCATGTAGCTTGGGCTTCCAGAAGTCGGATTTTAAGTCACAGCAGTGACGCGTAGAATTCTGTGGGAGGAGGAATTCATGGGAAAAACAGCCTGACCCGGTGAAACTGACTCAGCCCTCCGTCAGTGCAGATTGATCGTTTCAAAGCAGAAGTTCCTTCTCAAGTTTCTGGATTGAAGAAGGGTTTATTGATTAAAAAGGGTTATTCAGACCTTTCCTTCCTTTCAGCTTCCAGAGATGCTTCATGGGGATGGAGACAACGAAGAGCACGGTTACTGTCCGGTGGGTCAGTTCATCCTCCAGAACTTGGGGCTTGTCCTAGGTTTTGCCATCATGCTCGTGATTGCCCTTTACGAAGACAAAATAGTGTTGGACATTCAGTTTTGAAATTTTCCAGTACTCAACTGTGATTGCAGTCATGCTACTGTTAAGACTTTTTTTAAGTCTGCCCTGCGGTACTGTATGCACATCAGTTCCCAGACAAAGCAGTGACACACACTGATTTATCAGTAACCGTATTTTGGTATCTGTTCCAACAGGCTCTGCTTCTTTCCAGCTCCTGGAAAGGAAGAGGCAAACAAAAGACGATTGATTTGGTCCAGCGTTTTCCTTTTTAAAAAAAAAAAAAAAATCAGGTTGTGTTGGAAGCAGAGCATGTAGACATGATGCATGAGATGCTGTTGTAAACATATCATTTCTATTTGGCTCTGGCAACGGGCAGCAGAAATCCCACCCCCTCCTGACAAAGCCTTTTGTGTTGTACTTGAGCAAATGGTGAAAGGCAGCCCTATATACCCACAGAGCTCACGTGCCAAGCTAGGTCATTGCCCGGGCTCCTTGTCCCAGCCTGTAACACACACACACAGGCTCGCAACTGAAATTAGTTGGCAGTGCACAACTAGAACCATTCTGGGAAGGGGTCACCTTTTCAATGTTTTTTTTTTAAACAAAGCAAAAAAAGGATGAATAGTCTAGCATGTTATTATTGGATTGCATTTGCTCCCAGCCCTGATGCCTTGCTCAGTCGGCTTTTTTTGCGATGCGCTGAATGGTATGACCAAAGTAAAACTGGGTGTTTTTCTGGTTCAGCCACTGAATTGAACTTTCTTCCCCCTTTCCTCGCTCCTTGCCAATCAGCTGTTTAATAACAGGGTTTCGAGCATGTGTTCTTGTCTGCAGCCACTATTATGCAACTCGGCGGTTACTAGCTCCTTTGCAAATCTTTTGAGCCCCTTCGTTATTACGGTGGTATTGTACTCTTTTGAAGCCCAAGGAAAAGCAGGCTGCAGATCTCTGAATCAAGCCTGTGTACCTTGGGGAGGGGTGGGGTTGGAAAGTATTAGCTATTTCATGCTAGCTTGTGGGAGATGGATTAGCAAAATAGCTCAAATATTGCTTGTGGACTCCCTCCAATCCCCTGGCTGCGGCTGTGGGGCAGATAGCAGTGCTGATTTTGAGCAGTTCATACTTTCTTCTCTGTTACTAAGAGAGGTCCTGCCAAGAGTTTCTTTGACAGCAGCCCTTTTTCATGTTTGTTTGACATGATTCTTGAGAACAGTTTGGAATGTATGAATCCAGTGCCGTTTACCTTTGGTACATCTGCAGCCGCTTGACATTGGGAATTTTCTCCCCCAGGCCCCTTTTCAAAGATTGCTTTCGTTGTTTTGAACTTTCTTTTATGCGACTGGGCTTTCGTCTCTTGCCTGTGTGGCAGCTGGGTTCTTTCTGCAATGTAGAAGACCCGAGGTCTCCTCCCAGAAGCCAAGCAGGCGACTTCCTGTCTTGGCGGGGCTTCCTGCCCAGCAGGGAGACCTGCTGCCTCCAGGGTGACTCCCCCACATGGCTGCAGGGGTTCCCAGAAACCTATGCCAGGGAGGTGCCCTATAGGGGTTACATAGATCAGGCCTTCTAGGATAGTGAAGTGGTTGTGCCAGCAGATTTGGGGGGGGGGGGGGGGGAAGCCTTAACTCTGCAGGGTTAGCTCCACTGTAGGGAGAATGTTTGTGCCAATCAACTATTAACACCGAGAGACAAATTGTAAGAGATTATGAGAGAAGCAGACGCTTCCAGTCCCGGGAAGCAAGAACACAACAGGTTAGTCCTAAATTAAATCTTGGGAGTTAGTCTCTTCCAGCATTTTCTTCCTTTTTTTTTTTTTTTAAAGTGTACGTAAGCTGAGCTGCAAAGAAAAGTTGGTGGGTTTGGGTTTTCTACTTTCTTTGATTCCCATCAGAGTTCCTAAAAGTTACAAAACCAGACATTTTCATTCCAATCTACTTTTTTGATCATTCCACTGACTTTTCTCCGGACATTCCTGCATTTGTGCAAGTGTTGTCTACTTTAAAGGTATGTCAGATGATGGTGGCTTTTGTGGGAGGGCTTGAATACTAACAGACAGCAGTGTTTTGATTTGCTGGTGGCTCCAGGAGAACCGGTTCCTCCTCCCTTACCAACTGCATACCAACTCAGAACCACTGTGAAGACTGTGAGGTTGGGGTCTTCTTTGGTCTCGCTCTCTGGGCTAGAGAGAGTAGCTTAACTCCAGCTAAAAATGCTTGGCTGCAAGCTAGAGGAGATGTATCTTATCAGTGGGACTTCTAAGTTTTGGGCCCTTGGACTCTTGATTTATTAGTGTCTGCCAGACCGCTGGAGGGAGATTTTTTTTTAATTATTATTATTATTTTTATTTTGCAAAAAAAAAGTCGGCATACAAGATTTTCAAAGTCTATTTTTGTAATTATGAATAAAGCTTTCTCTACTTCAGGTAGTACTTTTTCCTTTTGCGTTCTGCTGGCATGCTCTATAATGTAATGTCAATCTGGGGAACACAATTAGACCCAAGTAATATTTTTCCCCCCCCCTACAAAACACCAGCCCTATTGTGGAATGTTAGGTTTTTGGTGAGCCTTTGGGAGACGATCCTCCCTCATTCACTTGTGTGCCTGTTACACTTTGTGAAGAGCCGTAGAGCAGTCTCAGCTTCCCCCTATTTTCCTTGGGTGCTGAAATTCCCCCAATTTTTTGAAATACAATTAAGTGATCACATTTGGGACAATTGGGATTCCACTACATTTCTACGTGGATCCATCATTCCCTTCCACTTGGAGTCCAGTCTCATTTAAATGTGTACTTGTTAGAGGGCATAAATGTTACTTGTATCTTAAAATGCTGTCACTGTGTGACATCCCATATTGATCACACTGCACTGAATCAGCTGTGATATGATGATTGCTTAGAAAATGCTGTATAGCATCCTAGGATGCAGTGTGACTTCTTTCCTTATGGTTGAAACAATGTGATTATGGTCCTGAAATATATTTGAGATACTGCTTTTGGAAAGGGGGTAGGGTGTTGTTTTGATTTGTTACAACAAAATCCATTTTTAAAATATATATAAATATAAATATATATATATATATATATATAAAGCTGGAAATGATGAAATGCTGTTTTTTTTTGTCCATTGTCAACAGTGTTGTGTTTATGTCTGTTCCTTGTTCACAAGGAACGTAAGAAAATAAAATTATTGAATAAACAATTATGCAGACTTGCTTTTTACCCCCAAGAACTTTTTATTATTATTTCATTCAACTTATTCTAATTTTTTTTTTTTACAACTTAAAAGATGCAAATAAAGCGTATTTAAAATTTTTGAAACATTTGAATTTCTTTAGAAAAAAAAAAGATACAAAAAAAAGGATACTGAATGTGGCAGGCTGGGCCATTAGCCTCTCTCTTCCCGGCGGCATGCCTTAGGTTAGGAGTTGAGCTGGCATAACAGGGCCACCCCTCGCCCAATCCAGTGTTCCTCTGGCATGTCTGAAGGCAGAATCATTGCAATCACAAAATTGGTAGAGTGGCCCGTAGTGGACAAAGTTCCTCGTCTTTCGCTTGTCTTGTATACCGGAGACAAATAACTGGGTCTGTTGGGGATGTCTGATCTTCGGCAAGGCTTAAGCCACATCTGTAGCAAGGAGGAGGAGATGGTTAAGATGCCGGTGGATTACAAGGCACTTCCCTTTATCTGGGCGAGGACAGATTATCTTTCAGAACCTCTGAACCAAATCAAGGCAATCCGTGGCACGACAAAACCGCGCTCGTCAAAATCGTGGTGATAAAATCACGGCGCTAAAGCCGCGACATCATCACCGCCGCGACAACAGCGCGGCAACAGAAGGGCGCTTTAAAACGGCGCCGCGGCAGAAAGCAGACTTCAATTAAGGTAAGGGTTAGGATTAGGTTTAGGGGTTTGTTTTAGGGTTGGGTTTAGGGTTAGGATTTTAGGTTTAGGGTTAGGTTTAGGTTTAGGGTACTGAGTGCTTGGGAATGTGCGATTTTGTCCTCCGCGATTATGTCATCGCGGTAGGGTCATGTTTTTCCTTAGCGCTTAGAACGGCGCGAATTAGTCTTCGCGCTTATGTCTCCGTGGATAAGGGCTTCGCGGATTTGTGGTGGAACCAAGGCAATCGGCATAGTGGTACAGTC